GTTTTAGTACTTACGCAGGGTGATGTGTGTGATGACACAGCCAAATATAAAAGACGTGAGAAAAGACAGGGAGATGATGAAGCTGTAGAAAAAGCGGTAATTGCGTTTTCCCACACAGTTTCCCACCCATGGACAGTGGTGATCAAATCGTTCTGGAGGGGGAAAGAAAGCAAAGAAGGCATAAAGTTACGGTCATTAATTTCAGTGACAAACTACAAATCTCTGTGGATCAATCTAGTGGATCTTTTACAGGATTTCTATCTGCATTGACACATCACACGCCCATTCATGGAAAGTGGAAGCAGAGAGCGAGAGGGCTGGTTAAAAAACAAAACAAAAAAGAAAAAACTACAAAATGATCAACACAGTGGCAAAAAGTTACACCAGAGGTTTCTTAGCTGGGACAGACAAAAAGGTGGACTTGTTACTCAAGGTAAAACGTCACCACGAAGCATTCACAGCAGCAGAAAACACAAACCTGGACTCATCTCAGAGCAAATACAGCAACATAAGAGCAAACCAGGAGCATTATGGAAAAGAACAGTAAAGTGATAAAAGCTGTATGAGCCTAAGTGTTACATTTACCCTAATTTAATGACTGATAAAACTTAATCAGGCAGCAATCTTGGCTGTCTGAGCTTTATCATTTTCAAACTAAAAGAAAAAAAAGGGGGGAAAAAAGGGTTTTCCAAGAATAGTGGTGTCAGCAGTGTTTCCCAGCAGGTCTGTACGGAAACATAGAAGGCATAACACAGAAAAAGTCACGCATTTAGGTTGTATCCTAAGAAATGAGGAACAAAACTCCCAACTTCCTCAATGTGTGCATAAGTGATTTCAAAAGTTTAAGTAAAATTGTAGAAAACCCAATCAAATTAATAATCTTTCCAACCTTTCACAATAAAGCGCCATCGTAGTGGTACAATCCCTTCACAGGGAGCAATGTGAGGGGAAGGTACTGAAATTTAGGACTGAAAGTACAGTAACCTTTGAAGAAACAAAAATTATTATTTAATTATGTACTCCCTGAGAGTTTGTTAGGAATAAATTCCGATTTAAAACCACTGCCTGGCAAAAACCTACAGCTCATGAGGCAGATTTATGAGCTTTTCTTTATGGCATACATGGAGAAGTAACAGTTGTTACTATCAAACTCTTTATTTTACTAAAATAATGACCAAATGCTAACCACCCACTTTCAACTACATAGATCCTGCTTATATGGCTAAACTGATTTGGTTACTTTAAAAAACAAATGTCAGGTCATGTGTTTATGGGTTTCACTTCTTCTTTTTGTAGGCTCTTGGTAAATTTGAGGTTTCAGGCTATTGTAAGTATAATGTTGGAACACGCTCAAGGAAATGTATTATCATTCTGATATTTAAACATTAGTGTTCCCCACTAAGATAAGCTTCATTATCATAGTAAGCACAAGCATAGAGGCAAACATAAACAATCATACTATTAGAATGAAACAGTCATAAAAAAAATAATGTTCTATTCAATCATAAATAAATGAGTAATAATCCTAATAAAAGCAGCTTTAAGAATGGCATAGGTAGGCACTGGGTATAATAGCAATATTGCACTTTGCACTTAAGGTAGATGGAGTTGGGATTCCATGTGTAAGTTTATTCTCACCTACACAGTTGTCGCACAGGCTGCAGTGGGAGGTGCGAGGAGGGCGGAACATCTTACAGGTGAAGCAGTATTTGAGCTTTACCACCTGCTGGTTGATGAGGATCTCCTTTGTCCGCGGAGGAGGGCGGTATGTAGAGGATCCTGAGGTATCTTAAAATAGACATGTACAAGGGGGAGACACTTCTTTAAGGTGTTTGCATTTCAGCAAAACAGCTCAACCAAGTAACTTCATAAAAATGGGGAAGTCAGTAGAAATCAGACTATACCAGGCCTTTGTGCTCTTCAACCATGACCCAGAGTAATCAGCTTAGGTTTGCAGCTCAGCAACAAACATGTCCCTCAGACACCCCACCCCACCCCACCCCACCCCACACACACACACACAGATGGAAAAGCTCTTTCATTCCATCTGTCCCACAGTGAGTAAGCTGGACTTACATATGCCTCACCTATCTGCCGCTCTATGTCTGCAGCTTCATCTGGAGTGGCTCTGGGTAAAATGCCTGGATCGGTAAAGCTGGTTCTCAGCAGGGAGATGGCCACAAACACAAAAAGCACCCCGCCGATCACAGGTATGAAGATGGTCAGGTGCTTCACCAGGAACGGGCAACTATAAATGTATATTCACATAAAAAAAAGGGGGGGGGGGGTATAAACTCAGACGTCACAAGACACCCTCGAAAATAAACACGTACATTTCGACTCACTCAAATGCAAAGAAAAGGCCACAGGTGACAACAATAAGGCCCATTGTCAGAGGAAGGATACCGCTCTGTCGGGAAAGAATGAGTCGCCCGTCGCAGAAAAACCTGTTCTTCCCGGGGAACACTTCCCATTTCCTCCGGGGCGACTGTGCCTTCTTCTCCCCGAGATTCTGCGCCGACAGCGGGGTCACCGACAGTGCCTGTGGATCTATCTGCTGGTACTCGCAGTTCTTCATCGTGTAAGCGGTTCGGAGGTAGCTAAAGGCACATACAGATAGACCTCTCTTTTCTCGTCGTGTTTCTTCTTTTAAAAAACGACAGTCCTCTCAAGGGTCAGTCAGTGTAACTTTATATTTTGCTTCTTACTTTCCCATCATGAAAGCTAACACTAGCTAGCGTACCAACAAAGGCATTCTTCTCCGTAGTTCACAGTCTGAATCAACCCCCAGGTTGGCGCGGGGTTAACTACCATGTTTGGTAGTTAAATTAAAGCCAAACGGAAATATGACTGCCCATGCTGTCAAATTAACTAGCCTCAATTAAAAATTCAACCCTCGCAGAGGAGCTTCCACTCCAACGTCTTCACGGGAGTTCCTTTTTCTTTCACAGTCAGCTACCGTACGTCATGGCGTCATCGTAACGTCATCACGTACGTCCTGATGATCCATAATGGGGAAAACGCGTCTACTCTGCACGGAGATGACAGGAAGATCAGTGGCAGGCGCGATGATAATCTGTTTTTATTGACACAGGCTGGGTTTTCTCTATACTAATTTATACCCGTGCCGAAAATAACATTAAAAATGTTGCATAATTTGTTTAAACAAACATTTGTTTAAAATATGACATTTTTGTTTCAGTGTGTTTGTGATTAGGTTAATGAAAGAAAAATTGTATTTAACAAAAAAAAGCAAATCATCTTCCTTTAGTGCCTCCATTTCACCCTGTCTTATCCTTAACACCCTCTAATCACCTCATTATGCCCTTCTAGATCCACAAATCTTCTCTGTGGTCTTCCTCATGCCCTTCTGCCTAGCAGCTCCATCTTCAACATCCTTTGTCCAGTATATCCACCACCCCTACTATCCTTTCTCTGCCCTGCCTCTCTAACTTTGTCTAACTGCTTTCGTTATCTCTACTCTTTATATCTCTCCTTCTCATTCACACACACATATTCTGTCTTGCTTCTACTGACTTTAATTTCTCCCCTCTCCAGAGCATACCTCCACCTCTCCAGGCTCTCCTCCACTTGCTCCCTACTCTCACTACAGGTCACAATGTCATCTGTGATCATAGTCCATGAACACTTCTGCCTGACCTCATATTTTCTGGAGAAAATAGGTTATAGCCTATTTTAGTATCTCACCTGATTGCAGTTGTCAACAGGATGTTGTGATAGTTGACAGATTAAAAAACATATTGCTTCAAATAGTTGTACACCTGCTCTGTCATTTCAGCTGTGATGTCATTCAGAGTGTTTCCATTTTTTTCGTCTTCTTTTAGCTCTCATGTCATATTCTGTCATCTTTCCTCAGAAAGAGGTCAGCATGATCAGTCACATTTATAGCTCGTATTCAATTCTGTTTGAACAACAAGAAATCGTAGCTCCACTCGCTACAGCTCTACAGCATTACATGAAAACTGATGTTCCTCATCCACGTCCTTTAGCTTTACTACAGTAGTGGGGTAATGTAATCTGGCAAGACTCTCACCTGTGCACTTATATTTCCTTTACTTTTGAATTAGTCTCTTTACACCACAGCTAGACAGTGATTCTAGGTGTGTATCACAGTATCAGTGGCCTAAAATAACAGAAATCCATTGTTCACTTGTGGCATATGCTGAATAATAGCTGTCAAGCTGCACTGAATGGACACTAGTTTGGAAACTATATAAAGATAACTGTCAGGGTTCAGTTGAGTTGGTGGTGTTAGTAAAGATTTTTCCATAAAAATAAGTGTAGCAGTTCTGCACCAAGTCGTTTCACGAGTTTACTTTGCACGACAGTAAAGAATTTAAAACTTTTACATGAAAGAAAAGGTCTTCAGCACAAATGTCATCCTTCTTTAGATTTATCGCGTGTTATCTGACATGTTAACACAACTTTGGCAACAATGTTCTTTAAAATAAAATTGCACATTATGGACATTTTACATCAATGCCTCGTGAAAGAACCATTACCATTAACACAATAAATAAATAGAAGATGAAGAAAAAAAATTAAGGTTCCTGTTTTGTTTTGTTTTGATTCTCACTCAAGTCCCGAGACACAAGCTGGAGGATTCAAAGAGCAGTGACTTCAGGAAGAACTGGACATGAAATAAAAAGTGTTCCCCTCCCACGTACAACCGTAGTCTCCCAATATTTACACCCAACTAGAGTCCATTAAGATTTCAGTTATTTTCTACATTTGTTCTCAAAGAACACAAAAACACATTTGACTAAAATGTGCAAATGAAACCTGGCAACTGTATCATGATCAAGAACTGGCATTAAAAATGTAATCTTGTCACAGAAAGCTCTGTGCAGGACCGGGCAAGGTCACTCCAGTAAGACACAACTTTTTGGACTTTGTGCTGGCTTTGTGTTTTTTGTCAAGTGTGAGTTTAATTATGTAAAATGTAGCATTATATGTACAATTATCTCTTTGACAAAATCACTGTCCTTTTATTGCAATTAATGGTTATTATTGAAATACCAAAGGATCCCTGCTGAAGCACTGACTTTACAGCCTAGTCCTGCACAGAACTTTAGCATTAAGAGCTTGAAACAATGTCTTAAGTCAAGTCCACGGCAAGAAATTGCAATGCAGTGCAAGGCCCAGTAGCCAGTAAGAGAGGAAGTATCCCAGGATGCTCTGTGTGGTAGAAGAACAGGCTTTTAAGTGTGGCAGGAGCGCAACAATAGGATTCTGAGGTGTGTGCTTGCAGCTATTTCTAGAATGCAGCTGCACGTTGGGGTTTGATGTTTTCCTTCGATGAAGGAGTGGCTCATTGAGGAGGAGCAGGTGAGCACTTATCCAGAATGGTACAGGAGACGAGGAGGCCATGAATCGGGTTAGTACCTACAAAGGCAGATTAAGAGAGGAGGGGTGAAGCTTTGAATAGCTTCAAACAAGACATTTTGCAAGACACTCATTATACAACTTCCTTACCTGCACATGCATGCACAATGTCCCGAAAACCAGCAGCACTGCTGAATGCACCACATACACGAACACTCGAGGGTTGAAGAATCCAGGCGTGGGTTTGTCAAGCCCTTTGTTTGCACTTGTGTCCCAAAGGCCGAGTCTCACACACAGCTCTGGATTAGCTTGAAAGTATGCATAACAGGCAATTATTCCAAGGGTGGCCATAGGCAGAGCCAGAAGAAAGTTGGGTATCTGCTTCAGCTCAAAATAACGGAGGAAGCCCACATCCCAATATACATCCTGGATGTGAGAATAAAGCAGGGGCAGGGGTCTCATACACCAGAGGGGTGGTGGACCGTTTTCATCCGGAACCCGGTAGCCCTTCCGTTCAGCTATTGACAGGAGAGCAGGAGGAATGCTCTCCAAGGAGGTGGATGGTGTGCAAAACGTCCTATAACCATAGTATTGGAAAGCACAGAAGGGTAGGGCAATAATTGCAGTTCCCAAGACAGAGGTCAGCAGCAGACAGATGATGACCCAGATGTAGTGGAAGACTTTACTGTGGCCTTTTGTTGTGGCGCGATACAAACGAATCTGGGAGATGGCATGCAGTGACGGAAGATACAGCAGAAACCCTATGTTGACAAGGCCATTTGATCGTGCTGCGGTAGCTATGCTGAGGGCAAGGCAGGCTCGGAAGATGAATCCTTTCTCCAAGAGATAAAGACCACCGAAAGTGAGAGCAGCAAACAGGCTCTCCGAGTACCCAGCAGTCATGAAAACATTGGCGGGTGTGATGCAGTAGAGCAGGCTGGAGAGCAGAGCAAGACGCCTGTCCTGGAGAACTATTCTACTGAGGGCATGCAAGGCGACGGCGCTCAACAGGAAGAGGGCGCTGTTTCCCAGGGCCACAGCAATCAGCAGCCGCCCCCGCACACTCAGCCAGCTGCTCAGGGGCCACAGCAGCGTCTCTGCCAGGCCCCGGAGGATGACGGGGAAGAGGGGGAAAAACGCAAAGTTGTGCTCGTAAAGATATCCTCTCTCGGCAATGAAGAGGAAGTGCTCAGCATCCCAGTGAGAGAGGCCGCCAAACAACCACTCCACCATCGAGTCAAAGTACAGGGAGTCCTCTGTCCGAGGGGGCCTGAACGCATCGGCGTCATGGTCAGGGATAGCAGCGTTCAAGACAGCCTGAAAAGAAACATTTATCATTATTAAAATACACATTCGTGATACACATGTCAGCTGTATGCTTTTAAAGTATACAGTGACTTTCACTACAGCCTGTAGGTAGAAACGTCCTGTTGTCAAATATGACTCGTTCATTCGAGACTTTTAATAATGCCAAACTTACCTGCAGAACCAGAGAGAGGCCCCTGGTTACTGTGGCAAACTCCAAAACTGCTCTCACATCCATAGTCACTGATGCGACACACAAAAGCCGAGAAAGCCGGTTACGACAGGCATCAGCTCTGCCGCCAATACGACACTCTCACTGCTGGAGTCGGCATATTTTCTATAAAACATAGCTACAACGGAAAAATAAGTAGTCGGTGAATTAGTTTTTAGAAGTTTGGCGTTGAAGTTAGGAAACGAAAAGAGTAAACACAAATGATATTTTATGGTCTTCGAGCGGCGTTTGTTTGTCGCTCGGCTGAACTCTTTGTCCTCATATCCTCATCCTGCAGCTTCTTTTCGAATGGCACTTTTCTCTTCCGGCGTAAGGGCAAACGTTATTTCAAAATAAAAGTTCGCATCGTTGCGGTAATATCGCTAACACGCCATACATGTCCGCTCCAGCAGGCGGCGCTCGATACTGCCCCATGGACTGGTTTATGCCCACAAACGCAGTTCCCCCCCCCCCTTTCATTTCATTTCATAAATAGAATTATAAGGATTTAGAAGATTTTTATTGATATACACATTTCTGAATATTTTGTTTTACTGCACTGATATTTGGGTTTGATGGCCTGAAACTATTTTGATTAAGTTCATGTAAAAGAAAGCCCTTTGTGTTTTGCAGCCTCATAAAGTACAATGAGACAATCTAGTAACACAGGGGTGTCAAACAGAAGGCCTGGGAGCCAAAGGTGGCCTGCAAAGAATCTAATCCGGCCCGCCAAAAGACTATAAAATAAAAAAAAATATAAAGGAATGCATCTTGTGACCTTTAGCTGTATTTTCATGTTTTACAGCTTTTCCTGCTGATAAAGACCTCCCTCACAGCCATTTGTATTATACGAAAATAGTTACTAGATAACAAAAAGTTCTTGTTTTTCACTCTCTACTATAGAAATTTCAGTTTAAAAACAAAAAAAGTTTTCTGTGATTAAACAAAAACTGAATACAGGACAGTGAGCTACCAGAACTTTTTGTAATTGTATAAATTCATCATGTAGAAAAACTGAGATGTGACGTCTTAATCTCATATTAAGATATCCCAGGGACTAAATGTTTAGTAAAAATCTATAATCTGACAAAATGTTTTACTCATCTTCCCCACTTCAGATAAAAGTGAGCTGTGTGTATTAAAGTGAGTTTGACATTCATGTTGTAACACCTTTTTAAGGAGTTTTAGGAGTCTTTAAATACAAGTGAAGCATTTAATGAGCAGGTAATCTTGGACATGTGGTTTAAAGAGCATCTCTAAACAGTGCTGTGTGAATTCATTCATTCCCCCCCAAAAGAAGATCGTTATTGCAAAAGAACAAAACCATCAAACAGCTTACGAAGATTTAATGTACATTTATTCTTACCACGTGGAACATATAGTATAAAGATTTCATACTGAATAAATGATATTCATTGAGCCAAAAAAGGGAAAGGGAGGAATTTACACGATGTCTTAGCTACATAGTCTGAAATACAAATATGCAGAATCCATGACTGGAGAAAATTTGTCAAACGTGTTCTTCATCTAGTTTATTTTCATTGTACCAGGAGATAACAGGTCTGAGCCATGTCTGCCATACTACGGAGCTGTGAAGAGACCAGAGATGTGGGTCTTATCGGAGAGGACCGAAGGTCACGGACCAAACTCGCGTCAGCCTCCGTCCCGCGCCAATAAACAAGTGTGAGAATAGTGACACAGAGAGAGAGCGAGAGAGACAGACACAGAAAGGAAGTATAATGTACAACATTATATATACACCACAGCAAAGCTGTATCTGAAGTTGAAAACCAGTCCTAAGAGGTGATTTCTTTTCATAAGGGTATTCATACAATCAAGGGATAAGAGGAGGTAAGGGTGTTGTAGGTTCTTGATACTTTGGGGAAGAAAGCCATTTTCTGTTTTAACACCAAACTAAATTGACCTCGAAACTCTTGAGGAGCTGCATCGCCAGCTTCTGTGTGGAATTGTGTGTTACAGAATGCTTACACTCAAGAGCAGTACGGTACAGAAAATGTCCTACAATCTACTGCACACTGCACAGGCCTCCCCGGTGAAGGTGTCTATTGACAGCACTTTGTCTACTGTCGGGCTGACTGGTGAGAATCCAACTACAGCAACTATAACCAGTAGGCCACTTAATCAGTCTGCTTCACCTCTGAACATCAACCAGTCACAGACTCATTGTGCCCTCGAGGGGAGAGCTAGGGCACACTGTGTCTCCCAAACTCACTGTAAACGAGACAGCAACTTTGGTTACAGTTTTTGTTTTTTCAGCTATTTATTATTTATTAAAAAGTACTTTCCCCCCCTGCCCGCCCCACCCGAGTGCAGCACAGTCTCCCAACCGTGGTGCTTTGCTCTGTGTCATCCAGTGGGCATTTTCTTTGCAAGTAGTGTCACTTTGTCGGCATCTCTCCGATTTGTAGATCCACCACCGCTCCGTGATTAACCCCCGCCCTGCCCCTCCGTCTCCTCGAGTGAGGCTGGCCCAGGATGGGGAGGCACGGAAAATGGAATCTGAAGGATTTTCATAAATTAAAATACAGACAGTCACTTGAACTTTCTTTGCCCTGTTACACACACATAAGCCAAGGTTACCAGGAAGGAGGGGGACTGGGGACAAAACCCCCAAGAAGTGGAGCCACGGCTCCCTCCAGCTGTCATGACTGGCCGATCAGAAAGAGTACATCACAGATAACATGAGAAACCAGCGAGTTCATGAGGGGAGACACTGAAAGGTCGAGGAGTCGGGACTCGTGTAGTGTGAACTCTGAGTGGTTCTCCTCCACCTTAGCTAAGGCGTGCAGGGCCCGGGCTGCTCGCCGCATCATGTCCGGGCTCGTGGGTTCAAAGGGCATCCCTTGTAGGTGTAGCAGAGAGCTCTGGCTCTGTTGCAGCTGTGTGGCAGCCAGACTGTCCTCCAGAAAGCCCAGCAGGTTGCCCACGCTGCCCTTCTGAACAGCGATTGCTCGGGCTGCCAGAGTGTCACCCTGGGCCAGGTTGGCTAGTAGAACTACGGCCATCTCCCTACAGACCGCAACCTTCCTGTCTCCAATTAGCCGCACCAGGTTCCCGTAAAGCTTCTCCAACCGACTGAATGGTGGAGTGGCCAAGATGAGGTCCACATTGTTGTCTTGGATGCTTAGTTTACTGAGCGTTTCCAGGACAAGTCTCTGAGGTGACAAAGAACCGTGGGGTCCCAGAGTGGGGAAAGGGTCCTGGGCTTCTGCTGAGGGGCACACAGCCCAGTGAAGGAGGCCGTCCAACAGAGGCAAGCAGATGCTTTCGGAGTAGATGGAGAGGTCCAGCTGGCCTGAAATATTTGCCAAAGTGACCAGTGTGTTCTCCCTCAGCAGCTCCAAGCAGTCCCACCACCATTCGTCCCTTTGGCCCATGCCCTCATCCGAATCCTCGTCCTTTTCGTAGGTGAGCGGGGCCTGTTTGCGCTCCGGGTGCCGGTGGTGGAGCAGGATTAGTCGACCCAGTATAAGCAGCAGTCCCGAATGCTTGGACATCTCGTGGTCATTGCCTGGAACGAAGGAGAGGCTGCGGACAATATTTGAGACGCAAATGCAGCGCCGGGCTAAAGAATCCTGCCAGTTAGTCAGTGCAACGAGCGGCCCCTCATCCTTACTGTGAGGCTCGTCCTCCAGGATGGTGCCGTTCTGCTGTGCCTGCTGGGTAAAGAAACTGCCAGAGGAGGGAATGGGTCTATTATTCTCTAGGTGACTTTTCGAGCCTTTCTCAACCGTCTTGGAGTCACAATCTGTCTTCCTCTCCTCCTCGCTGCCAAGCAAGGAGCTGGACTTCTCTGAGACTGCTGATCTTTCTGAAGAGGAGGTCTCTTTTGGCATTTCTTCTTCGTCTTGAGGCTTCCTTCTCTCCTCCTCGGCAGGCAAACCATTTTCCCGTATCTCTTCTTCTAGGACTCTCCGCCTTAGTAAAACCGGTGGCACAGGTATTCGTTCGCGTGGTTCCAAGAAGTCTTTTCGTGGCTCAAAGTGGGTCTGGATGTGTTCTGTTGAGTCTCCCCCTCCTGCGCTCCAGTGAAGTAAGCCACTGTCAAACTCTTGAATTTTGCCATGATTATTTGCCTGGGCTGCGGCAAATGGGTCTTTCTTTCGTACCAACTTCAGGGGAAACTTGTCAAACTTGCTCGCCTGCTTGGGTCTCTCGTGGGCAGTTGGGGTGTGCAACGAGCCCGTCTGCTCAGATGATGAACCCTTGCTCTTCTCGTCCTGACCTTGAGAGCACTGCTTTTGATCTTCCTCCTCTTTGACATGAGATGACCCCTCCGTTTCTCGTTCTTCCTCTTCATCGTCATCTTCATCCTCTTGTTCCATATCATCCACCCGTGGTTCCTCTTCCTCTGTGCCATTCCAGTCTCGTTTCAAGGTCTCAGGATCAAGTAGTGTTCTCTGGCCAGGGTCGCCGACCTCATACTCCCGCAGGATGCCAAAGATTTCAATGAGGCAGCGTCGGAAATACTCAACCACCAACTCTAATAGACCAGGCAACTGAAGAAACAATATAAAGAAAAATATTAGAAATGATCACCATGCAAACTGCTACAAACATTATTAGGGCTCAATAATGAATCTCACCGTGCTGAGATCGAAGGTGGAAATACTATTGTCGTCATAGAGAAGTATATTGATAGTATCTAAGGCCCACGTGCTTTCAGCCAATAAACCGGACTTTAATGACATCATAACTCTCCAGGCCTCTGGGGTTCCTAAAAGTGAAAAATCAAGAAGAAGAAAAAAAATAGAGAAATTAATGAATACCACTACTCTCTGATCAATAACTTACAACTGAGGACAGCTGCAGTATTAAACAGTACTGTGAACAATAAAGGGTAATAAGCTGCTTTTAAGTTCTAGAATTTCTTTTCATACCAATATCTTTCATGGTGAGTCTTCGACGTGGCTTCAGGACAGGAAGGGTAGCTTCTACAGAGCCTGGCGGAAAAGGCATGTCTCGCCTTATTAGAGGTGACTGCACTGGAGGGGGCACTATGTGGGATGCAGGCACTGGGGGACCAGCCTTCTGCATCTTCATTCCATGCATAAAGGGAGACTTGCTAGGCGATGTCCTGCTCTCTATGGGGCGGGGCATGGATGCTGGGCTCGGCACCTGTGGAATGTGGTTCTGCACCCCCTGAGGGGGCTGGTAGTTGGACTGTACCGAGCGAGGCATAGGTGTGCCAGGCCCGGCTGGACCGTAAGGAGGCTGCCGAGGGCCCATCTGACCCCCCCACTGGCCATCGTGATTCATGCGTTGTTCTGACGGCATCATCTCCTCTGCCCGGTTCATGCCG